CAGTCAATACCAATCATGCTGAACACACACAGCCTAATCCTTCAATACATTCAATGTGTTTTGCTTGTTTTAGGAGATGACACTGCAGACAAGTCCACATTATCGACTGTTATTCAACTCAGAGAAAATAGACACATCAACACAACCACATCCTAGTGGAAGTCGGCTTTAGGAATGTCCATGTCCATCCACCAGCCACTCTGGGAGGGGTTCTGACATTGACTTTTGTGAAGAAAAAATAATTACTAAGTCAATCCTAAATGAAGTGAATTGCTTCACTTTACAGTGTACATTAATATTTGTTTTTTCTCTTTGCATAGATTCTGAATTTTAAAGGGATGCCTACAGAAATCAACATGGGTGATTAATAGTCCATATTAAGAAAATGCCAAGTAAACACACTCACTTTTACCATGATTACAATCATAATCCTTCAAATTCATATCTTGATTGTTTGGTCAAAAATTTTGTGGAAGGAAAAAACTACAACCCTTTCCTTACTCAGGCCCAGTGGTCCAGTGGCCCAGTGGTCTGTGGTCCAGTGGCCCTGTGGCCCAGTGGTCCAGGGGTCCAGTGGCCCAGTGGTCTGTGGTCCAGTGGCCCCGTGGCCCAGTGGTCTGTGGCCCAGTGGCCCAGTGGTCCGTGGGGCCGCAACCTGCTGTGCAGAGTTGCATCCCTTGGACATGCCAGAAACCTATGATCATGGGTCCGAATCCCGCCTCGCCCCAATGTTTCTAGGTTTATCAGCCCCATACACATGCTCATGGAAGTCACCAAAGGGGACAAAGATGGGACATGTTGTTTGTGGGTTAATGCCGCACTCAGCAATATTCCAGCTATATGATGGTGGTCTGTAAATAATCGACCCGACAATAAAGTGATTGATATCATGAGCAGCGGTCCATAGCCTTTCTATGAAAATTTCTAAGAGCATCATATGACTCATGCAATAAATGTTGTTAGGTCAGGGTTCAACATTCAAGTTTTCAAAAGGTTTCATGGTAGACATGTGGTGAACATTTCCAAATTTGACACATCAGTGACAAAAATTATGTCTGATGCAATTCCCCATTTTGACTTTACCATATGTTTCCATGTGTTTATAGGTGAAAAATTGACTTGCCTTTGAATGTGTTTGTGCCGCTGGTATCATCAATATTTGATAGTGATTCATAAACACATGCTCATATAGACAAAAATCATACAATGGACTCCACTTTGAGCACTGATCTCTTCCAAATATGGAAACGGCTTAGTCACTTTTATTTAGAGAAGGTCAGGACTCACAGGATCTCGCTGCCCGAGCAGCACTCACCCAACTACTGGTGCCAGCATCAAACATGATAAATGAATCGGAAAATGAACAGCGATTGTAAACTTACAACAACAAAAACATTAAATGAACTATAGCTCGTTAATCGGTGTATTGATCAAAGAGTCTATTTCCATCTCTAAAAGGTGTAACCTTGTTTCGTTATCAAAACTCATCCAGTAAACATCTGCTCAAAAACTAATGCGAGACAAGCAAACTGGCAAACAATCTGAACATGTTCATGAAAATAAAAATAAATCATTAAGATTCCATCAGAGAGGGAAAATACACCTAATTAACCCATCCAATATGTTTGATGTCATAATGTTCTTAAAAGTAATGAAATATTTTACAAAAAGCTACAGAATTAAAGGGAAACCAAAAAAAACATTATTAATCAATGAAATTTACTGCATTTCCTTCAAAGTTGCTTGTCAAGATCAATGGACGTGTTCAACGGATGCGCATGTCCCGAGATGAGGCTCTTGCTATTGTTGCTATTTTGGGCGACAGGAGAGCGTGAGATAATTGTAACCAAAAAAACAAAGGAAACTAATTCATTTTCTCGGTACCACCAGGTCATTACCTTAATGTGGTTGTCACACAAGCCTGTCATGCAATCAGAGTTTCGGGTATGATAGCGACCATTATAAAAACATTGAAATATTGATATGGAATTTATTAGACAAGTTCACACGACTGACAACTACCCTATTTCGTTTCTACAACTTGTAAGGCGTATGATGTGATAAAGTAATGAGGTGTGGTTGGGATCAGTTTAAAAGGACAATAAGTCAAACTTCACAAGAATCTGTAAGCCAAAAATGTTTTATCATAGATTTGTATTGTCTTTACAAAAAACAGGCAACACACATACTTTTTTTAGGCGATTTGTTTGACTAGCGGGTGCTACGAGTAGGGAAGGACATGCTGACCCTTTTGGCGAAATCTGGCGGCATCACTGATTTTCAGTGATCCATTTATATAATTTTTACAGCTATTTTGTCTTTTATGCCTAATGGAATAAACGAGGACAATTCTCATCGGTTAATAAGATATTGGGTGAGTGAGTGAGTGAGTTGGGTTTAACGCCGCTTTTAACAGTATTCCAGTTATATCACGTCGTGTCAGCTTAATGTGGGAGGAAGGCCCAAAGTGATGGAGGTCTTGGACGTTTACCACTTCAGTGAAACCCACGAGCACGGGTATGGTGCTGACAAACCTAGAAACATAATCGGGCTGAACCGGGTTTCTATAGATCATAGGTTTCTGGCGTGACCAAGGGACGCAACTCTGCATCTCATTCGATGAATCAATCATATCACAAAGTCTATGTTAAAGTGTGCCAGTTACTTCAGTCGTTGGAACAAGTTCTATAAATTCACTACCTTCAGGAAACAGTGAACATCTGTCAAACTGACCCAAGCTACCTGGATCTCTCAATATTTCCATAACACAAAACATTAAGATCCATCAGTAATAATGCATCAACCACAGAACCAATTTTGGCACCATTGTCTCCAAGTCTCTGGCACTATGATGCTGAATATAAGCAGGGAGCTATTTTGATTGGACTCAATCGTTGTTTCGCAATATAATAAATTCAAAGCAATATAACACCAAGTGGTCCCACATTAACTCCACGGCACATTCCCCTTCTTAAAGAAATGAAAAAAACAGAGATCCATAATTAATAAGTCATCTCAGCCAATGTTTAATGTTTGAACAGCAATATCGTGGGTGAAAAAAACATATATACCAAAGTTCATAGCATCTCATAGCATAGCTTCTGAGGAGCCTGTAGACTCTTGGACTAGCATATGTTCTATTATTGGGAAAAGCCACTGAAAAGCCACGATGTCTATTATATCAAGTATTGATCATTTCCTCATGATTGACAGTTCATTTAAGGCTTGTCAATAACGATTTCATGCTTATTTCTCTGAGAATGACAACGGTAAATCGTTTCGTTTAGCTTTATTTTTCTTATAACTCAGTGCTGTCTGTGCTGAATGCTGATAAGATGCTTTTATTTGGGTTTAAGAAGTTGTGTACCTAAGATGACTGTATTTAAAAAAACTAAAAAAATTTTAATAGAAATATTTGTATTTTCTGCCACAAAGAAAGAATCCACTTCAGTCTGAAAGAGTCCATGTTTTGTTATGCTTGTGGGCATTGAGGCCAAATAATTCATGCTTTTGAATGACAAGCATGTCCCCCAAAATGACTTTTGCACATGTGCATTCACCCATCGTCCGGATGAAAGGGAGTTAACTGACTATAAAAGTCCAGTTTCCACCCTTGCCGAAATAGTCTGGAATTCTGGGGTTACACCTTGTCAGGACCAACGAGTCTATGCATATTCCATTCAAAATCACGTAACGACCTAGACATCCGGTTCATAAACAACATGGATATCAACAAGCAGGATTTGCAAAACATGTGTACTGTCAACAGGATGTAGACAGATATTTTGCAAATCTTTTCATATTTTTAATCATAGTGCAGGGTAAGACTTGAATTTAATACAATATTGATCTTGATTATCAATGAGATCATCTTGACTGGGCGCTGCTGTTTCATTTGAAGTAAATGCAAGTGATTTAAGAGATGGAATCTTATTGGTCAATAGGAGGGACATAGAAGGTACATCGAAGGGACATAACTCGCAATAGCTACCGGTGGTGCTACGATCTCTGGAAATTCCAGCCTAAGTTTGGCAACTGGAAACTGGACTTTTACAGTCAATTAACGCCCCTGGCTCGGGATGACGGCGTTCACCTAAGTTCCAGCTATATCAATTATGTATAACTGGTATAGCTGGAATACAAAAGAGGTGACATTCTCTAGTGTACAGAACCACATATATCAAGAAATTCCCACAACACTGACACAAAACAAATTGTTCTCCGACATGTTTTAAGGGACTATTCAGGAATAAATCTCCTTCTTCCTGCATGATGATTCCATTAATACTAAAAGGAGTGCGCTTATTATCTTTTATTCAGCAATTGTCACACTAAAAACTAGTCTGGACTGGTATTTGTGTTTGGTGCTGGTCTGCTAAAACTTTGCCAGTAACACTGCAAGCATCTTGTGTACCTACTTGTGAGGGCAAGACAGAGGGAAACACAAATAATCATCAGCATGAATGAGTGAGTGAGTACCGCCTTTAGCAATATTCCACCAATATCATGGCAGGGGAGACCAGAAATGAGCTTCGCACATTGTACCAATGTCGGGAATCGAAACCGGGTCTTCGACATGCCGAGCGAACACAAACTCACTAGACTACACCGCCACATCCAATAGCATGAGGGGGCACGGGTGGCCCAGCCGTCTAAGGCGCCGCGATTCGCTGTGCAGAGTTGCGTCCCTTGGACACGCCAGAAACCTATGAGTGTAGGTTCGAATCCCGGTTCGTCCCGATTATGTTTCTAGGTTTGTCAGCACCATACCCGTGCTCATGGGTTTCACCAAAGTGGTAAACGTCTGAGACCTGCATCACTTTGGCTTTCCTCCCACATCAAGCTGACAAGCCGCAATATAACTGGAATACTGTTAAAAGTGGCGTTAAACCCAACTCACTCACTCACTCACTCCAACAGCAGGAAGAGCTGGCTGGGCCAGACGTCAGGGCAGATGTTAAAACTTCGCCAGTAACACTGCTAGCATCCTGAGTACTTACTTGTGTGGGCAAGATGAAGAGGGCAACACAGATCATCAGTAGCATGAAGAGCTGGCTGGGCCAGATGTCGGGGTAGACGTCACCGTAGCCCACTGTGGAAAATGTCACCACCACAAACCAGAAGGACTCAAACAGACCAAAGTGGTGGTTCCCTCCCCGCTGAAGGTGTTGGATACCACAGGCACTGAAACAAAGATCAGATCATCATCAGTAGGGCTCGTAGTAAATAATTGCTGTAAATAAAAGTGACATTACCCTTTCTTTAATGGTAAGAAATCTCACATGTTTATGAAGCACTGTCAAATAGTGATGCCACCAGGTGTTTTGAAAAATGTGATTGTATCTTGCCCCTCCAGCTTACCCATCATAAACACATGCAAAGGCAAGTCAATGAATCACCTGAATAAACACAAGAACACATGGTTCAAGTTAAATGGGAATTGCATCATTTGATGCCAACTTGGAAATGTCCTCTATCTGTAACATTTTAATACTTCATCAGAATGGGCACAATGTGTGAAGCCCATTTCTGGTGTGACCCACCATGATATTGCTGGAATATTGCTAAAAGTGGCGTAAAACCATACTCACTCACTCACTCACTCAATCAGCCATGTCACACATTATAACCAGGTAGTCCTCATACTGGTAGAATCTATCAATAAGCATTGGGTGTTCAGTGCCTTTCTTGAACCATAATGGCCCATGGTGAGTCAAGTGAAAACCTATTCTGAACTGGAATACTCACAGAGAGACAACATTGGGTACTGGAAATCTAGTCTGACCAAGAACCCCAATGGGAAGACAAACATGAGGTGCTGTGAATCTAGTCTGACCAAGAATTCCAATGGGAAGGCAAGCATGGTGTACAGGGAATCTAGTCGGACCAAGAATCCTAATGTGAAGACAAGCATGGTGTATAATGAATTTATTCTGACCAAGAATCCCAATGGGAAGACAAGCATGGTGTATAATGAATCTAGTCTGACCAAGAATCCCAATGGGAAGACAAGCATGGTGTATAATGAATTTATTCTGACCAAGAATCCCAATGGGAAGACAAGCATGGTGTACAGGGAATCTAGTCTGACCTAGAATCCCCATGGAAAGGCAAGCATGGTGTATAAGGAATCTAGTCTGACCTAGAATCCCAATGGGAAGGCAAGCATGGTGTATAAGGAATCTAGTATGACCTAGAATCCCAATGGGAAGGCAAGCATGGTGTATAAAGAATCTAGTATGACCTAGAATCCCCATGGGAAGGCAAGCATGGTGTATAAGGAATCTAGTATGACCTAGAATCCCCATGGGAAGGCAAGCATGGTGTATAAGGAATCTAGTATGACCTAGAATCCCAATGGAAAGACAAGCATGGTGTACAGGGAATCTAGTCTGACCTAGAATCCCAATGGGAAGGCAAGCATGGTGTATAATGAATTTATTCTGACCAAGAATCCCCATGGAAAGGCAAGCATGGTGTATAAGGAATCTAGTCTGACCAAGAATCCCAATGGGAAGGCAAGCATGGTGTATAAGGAATCTAGTATGACCTAGAATCCCAATGGGAAGGCAAGCATGGTGTATAAAGAATCTAGTATGACCTAGAATCCCCATGGGAAGGCAAGCATGGTGTATAAGGAATCTAGTATGACCTAGAATCCCCATGGGAAGGCAAGCATGGTGTATAAGGAATCTAGTATGACCTAGAATCCCAATGGAAAGACAAGCATGGTGTACAGGGAATCTAGTCTGACCTAGAATCCCAATGGGAAGGTAAGCATGGTGTATAAGGAAATTATTCTGACCAAGAATCCCAATGGGAAGACAAGCATGGTGTATAAGGAATCTATTCTGACCAAGAATCCCAATGCGAAGGCAAGCATGGTGTATAAAGAATCTAATCTGACCTAGAATCCCAATGGGAAGGCAAGCATGGTGTATAAGGAATTTATTCTGCCCAAGAATCCCAATGGGAAGACAAGCATGGTGTATAAAGAATCTAATCTGACCTAGAATCCCAATGGGAAGGCAAGCATGATGTATAAGGAATCTATTCTGACCAAGAATCCAAATGGAAAGACAAGCATGGTGTATAAGGAATCTAGTCTGACCTAGAATCCCAATGGGAAGGCAAGCATGGGTTACTGCGATCCTAACTTGATCCAGATTCAACACACAAGACATGTGTGCTGGGACCTTTTCTGTAGAAAAATCCAAACAAAAAGACATGCATGGGCACTAAGAACCTGTCATGAACTCGAATCCCAACAAGGAGACACATAGGATGCTAGAATCCTATTCCTACCTAGACTCCCAATAGGAATTCAAGCACAGGGTACTTGAGACCGATTGGGCAAATAAACATTGAATGTAAAAATTTTTCCATCACATACATGTATTCCCAATGCGGAGACATGCATATTCTGATCTAAACCTAGAATTTCCACAAGGTAAACATATTTGTATGAGTGCCTCGTCTGTATCCAAGCTCAATAACAATCAATACACATTGTAGCCACAAACATCAGAAAACCTCATTCTACCATGACACAAGACACAGCTCAAATCATTTCCAAATCATGTCCGAAACAGGATTACTCCAACATGGGCCATCAGATGGCATTGGCAGCATCAAAAGGATGTAATTTTGCCATTAATGTCATCATGTTTTGAACATGAGGAAGTCCATGACAAGCAAATCAGCGTGTATGCTTATTCCAGCTTGGTACGATTGTATCACCTCAAAGATTTGCATTCCACAGAATGAATACCAGAGAGACAATCAGGACATGGATGAAACAGGCAATGAATATGACCATCCTTGAGTTCCCAGCAAATCTCACAGGTGGAAGGTCGCAGTGTATCAATACTGGGATAGTAATAGCTGATCCCATTCGTGACCAACCCTTGTTATTCCGGGACAAGCAGAATAGCGACTAGTGCCCCTCTCGTGGTCATTTTTGCGACCGGGTTCTGTCTTAGCGCAAACGGGCATACCTAAAACAATTGTCAACTCATTGCGTAATGGTTCACACATTTTCCCCAAATATTATATATATTTCAGATGCAATTTAAAGCACATCGGGACGTGCGGAATTATACAGTATGACTGAACACATTTAACTGTGCCTTTGGGATATTTTTAGATGCAAGACATATGTAAAATCAAAATTATTTCTGAGGGATTCTTTGATGAAGAACTTGAAATAATACGCGCATTCTGATTGGTTTGTCGTATTTTCGCACATAACATTCATCGATAGGGGGACGAGTCTTCTTGCAGGTTACGGAAAGGGGCGAGTGGTGACTAATAGTCTCAAGGATGGAACAAAGACTATAAAAGGGAGGTCTAATTAAGTTGTGATTTACATTTTAAAAGTTGTTGGTCCTAGTTCTATTACGTTATGTTTCTTAATCATTCCTCTTTCCTTCTGGTTCATCAGCATGCTTCACCTCGCGGGAAACAAAAACTTTTTGATAATTTGGTACAAATACTCTTTAACTTTCAATGTGTGGTGACTTAGAAACGCCAATCAGAAACGGAAGCAACCTGGATTATCTAGGATAATTGGTGTTTAAACTTAGTAATTTTCACAAAAATATAAATAATCATTTGGTATGTCTGACTATATGATTTTTATGAAAACAAATCATATTTTATCACCCAAACTCATCAAAATCTACAAACATTCCCACAATCCATAACAAATTACTATTACTATTGTATTCAACGTCATAAGTGCCCAGGGTGCTCTCAAAATTAGAAACGGCGCTCTTATTAGAATAAAAAATTGTAAATTTTGTGGTTTATGCTGATTGCCTGAAATGATACAAAAGAAAAGTCTATGCATATTATACACGAGTGTGTATTATACACAAATAAATAAGTCTTGTGTACATTGATCAATCGAAAGGGGTGCTAAATGGGATTGTTGACACTAGCCATTACATAAGCAAAATATCACCATTGGCGCTTATCAGAACTGGGCGCTTACTACATTCAATATGGTAATTGATAATTGATAGGTTGTACATGCAACAATGGCTATAGCAAGGTCATCTGTTTAAAATTACAGGCCATGTTATTTTTTGTCCAATTCACAATATCTTTCACTTCATTGTATTGGAGGAATTTGGTAAAAATACATTGTAATGATTCTACCAAACTAGGATTGGTTGGCATCACTGGGTGAATTCCAAGAATAGGCATTCCTCGAATAGTTACAAAAGCTACTCGTTTTGGTTTAGTGTCTAGTTCTATAGATTGGTATGGACTGCCATGGGTTGCAAGGGATTGTTTAGTCTTACACTGAAACACTTTGAAAATGCATATTCAATTTTTTATAATATTTCACAAATTGGCCACAAAAAAATTGTTCTGTGTACTAGGCATGAGGTAATCAAACTCAACAATGTCATCAGGTTCGAATCTTTTTTTATGCTATTTCTAGGTTTGTCGGTACCATACCCGTGCTTGTGGGTTTCACCAATGTGGTAAACGTCAGAGACCTACATCACTTTGGGCTTTCCTCCCACATTAAGCTGACACTTTGGGATATAACTGGAATACTGTTAAAAGCGGCATTAAACCCAACTCACTGACTCACTATGTGATGTGTTTTGAGATGGACACAAAAATACATGTCTGATGCTTGGAAACATGATGATGTTTGTTTCTTGTGTGTCAGTATGTACACTCACCACTAAGAGAAACGCGAATCATAGAAACATATACAGAAGTATGTACGTTAAGAGTGAGTGAGTGAATATAGGTTTACGCCACTTTTAACAATATTCCAGGAATATCACGGCGGGGGACACCAGAAATGGGCTTTACACATTGTACCCATGTCAGGTATCGAACCCAGGTCTTCGACGTGACGAGCAAACGCTTTAACCACTAGGCTACCCGACCGCCCCATGTACATTAAGAAGAGATGTTTCCAATGTGTATGAATTAAAGACAAAGTCAGTCAAGCGTTACCACAAACTGTTTTTATTTTTATGCTCCACGTGATTCTCAAACTTTACATGCTGGTCCTACATGAAACAAATGGAGCATCCCGATCCATGGATCTATGACGTCACATGTGATGAGTTCATGAATGTTGGTTCACACAACATACCAATATGTTTGCTTGTGCATCGAACCAATCTAATATCTCTTTAATATATAATTCTTCA